TTGCTTACAGTTCTCAAGGCATTTCCTATATTCCCATTCAGCTCAACCTATGGGTCTAGAAGACTTGATTTGGAGAATGGTTTGTTACTCATTCATCCTATTTAGAATACATTTAGCTTTTTGTTTATGATTTTAATTGTTGTTGAAGATGAGAAAGAAGGATCAAGAAGTGAACTGTTTAACCTGCCTTTTAGTATCTTGCTTGAGTGATAATTTTCTTGAAGTTCTTATGATAGCTAAGCTTTGAAAACGAAATACTTGGTTTCGTACTTTTATGTTTATTATTACCAGACGAGCAAACTTCATGGACAAGTGCCTTGGTAAAAAACACTTTGAGATTTTCAGGAATGTTGTTTATTGCCCGCCTTTGTGATTTCTGGTTTAAGAGGAGCAATCAAAACTAAATAATTATCTGAAAAATTTGGTTTCTTTTTGATCTTTAGTTGTGTTAACAGTTAGCGGGTAAGTTGGTGAACATCAAGCTTCATACCCAGGGGTCGCAACGTGTAGTGAACTAATATATCAGCCTGTGCACTTGTGACTGCAAGCGTTCCAACTTCACAAGCCCAGCTCCATTGTCTTGATTGTTGACTATGAGTTGTTTTTCTATTTTTGCTCGGTATTGTCTTTGTGTTTGGGATGAAGGGAGCATATCTGCAATCACCTGAGATAAGGTTAGAATAGGAAATTGCTTCCCATTCTTTTCTTGGGATTGCCTATGTTGATAATGTCTAATGTAAAAGATGTTCCTCTTTCACATCAGGTCTACAAGTAATACAATTCGTTGGCACGTCTAGCAAACTGCATTGGATGGTTAAAAGATTTTTTCTGTTAGAGGGAGATTAGCTAAACGACCAGTACAAGCCTTTGATAAGATACTTCATATGGATACTTGTGGAAAGAGGTGGAAAACTTTTTTACATAACAAATCCCAAGTAAAAGTTAGCATGCACTTAGTTATCATTATGCTGCTCTTTCGATTTCCAATTCAATCATTTGAACTGCAAATTGTAGTCAAATTTATCCAGTTGTGTAGACAAGTAAAGCTAGAACAATTAGCCTGATGTCTAAAAAGGTTGGATAGTCTAAATGGTCTAGACATCATGATCTGAACTGGGTAGATGGTGCTTGTTGATATGTAGGTTGGATACGTGGGAACAACTGGAGTTTTTTGTCTGAGAGGGGCGGTGTCGTGGTGGTGGGATTGTCGGAGAGGGTGTGTGGTGTTGGTCCAGTGCAAGTCTGGTTGGGTTTGAGCCTCCTCTCTGTTTGGCGTTGATGCTTTTGTGTGTTTGTGTGTGCTTGTGCCCGTCGGAAGTGAAGATTGGTTTCTCTCTCTATCTCTATGAATGAACTGATAAGTCTCGTGTTTTTAGGTCAACATAGTAATAAGACATTCTCCTTTATTAATGACGCTTGGAGACAAGGAGGGTATGTATCCTGGAAATGTTACCGAATAATTAAAATATAATTTGTCCGTAATACAATTTAGTTACTAATAATGTTCTTTAGAATAAATATATTCGTGAAACATACATGGGATGGGATGTGATACGGGTCGGTGGACAACGTAGCAATGACTTACTATTTCAATCGTATTTTGGAAAGAAATCTTTGTAAAATATCCATTGTATTACATTTATTGCCATATCTTAGTATGTCCACATTTATTTATTATTGTCAGGATTATGCTATGTTACTGGCACATGTCACCTGGGGAGCACTGATTTGGTGTTTGAATGCCTAAATGGAGTTTTTAACTACACTTTGGTGTATTGTTCTTCAGGTCAAATGCCTCGGCATGCAAAACTAACCTATACATGTATAAGGATACTGGCATGTGTAGTGATTGCCACCTGCTTGTCGAAAATTTTGCACCCCATAGATTTCTGGCATGTAAGCTCTCCATTTATTGGACCCAATATTCCCCCTTCCACCAAGGTGTGGCTTTCAAGATAGATTTTGAAAAACATATGATCTTGTGAAATTGGGACATTTTGGATTTCATTATTGAAGTAAAAGGTTTTGGAATTAAATATGAGAGGTGGATTAAGGGGTGCTTAAAGGCAATGAATTTCTCAATGTAAATGAGAAGCCTAGAGGGAGATTTAATACCACTAGGATTCTTAGGCAAAGGGATCCATTGTCACCATTTTTGTTTACCTTGGTGGTGGATGAACTTAGTCGTTTAGTAGATAGGGCTATGGAGTATAATATTATAAAGCGGAAGGGACCTTGTTGGGGTGTCATGTATACAGTTTGGAAATGATACTATCTTTTTCCTGTTTGGTGATGTTGTAAAATTTCAGAATTTAGTGAATATATTTGATGTTTTCAGGTTGATGTTGGAGTTAAGAGTCAATATGTCAAAGAGTTTGTTTATGGGAAGGAGGAAGACATATTTTGGTACAGGCTGTATTGGCTACCATTTCTATTTATTAGTTTTCTTTGCTTAAGATCCCTCGAAAGATAGCATACTTGATTGAAAAATTGATGAGACTTTTTGTGGGAAGGGAGCAGGGATGGAAAGAATGAACATCTTGTTAGGTGGGAGGTGGTGCCCATCTTTTGTAGATCACATGCCATTGGGGAGAAAGACAAGAGTTTGGTCTTCACCTTTGCAAAAAATCTCAAGTGTTGAGCTTTCATGGAGATACGGTCCAGGCAAAATTCTACACCTTGATAGGCACTTTGGCCTTCCAAATCATCTTATGAGATTCAAAAACTAGAGAAGATGGATCATCAATCAATGCATAGAAGTAAAATTTGCAAGAAAAGACACTAGATGAATCAAAGACCTACACCCTTTTATCCCCTCCTCTTAGGAACAAGTACAACTGAATTGAGCACAGCCAATGAAGAAGAAAATTTAAAATTTTCCCTTTTATTAAAGGCCCTAAGAATTTAAAATTCCATTCCCCTTGGAAATCATGAGCACAATACAAACTCGCAATGGACACATTGTGAGACTGGGACAACCTAAACAACCTAGAGATAGACAAAGCAAAAAAACAATCCCCAATCCAAAAATCTTCTCCAAAACAAGTCCTCACCATCCTCCACTCCCACTTTAACATACTCCCCAAAACCATTGAGACCCTATGAAATAAACTTCCGAGGACATCTACAAGAGCCTCTAATCACCACATTCAAATGTCACACATTAAGTGTAAGTCCATATTTGCTCTTGATAACAACTTGCCACAAAGACCCATGTTCAAGTGGAAACCTCTCCTCTAATCCTAGTAAGTAACAAACTTCAGGGGATCTAGTTGTCATTCTCCCTAAAAGAATTTAAATTTTAATTATCAAACATACCTAATTAATAAGTCTCAAATATATTTCTTTTTAAGTGCTAAATTTGGATTAACAAAACACACCTAAAATTTGTGTAATGTTTTGTCTTTCCCCCTTTTAGCGTGCAACGCTACCGATGCCAGGCCCAACAAGGTTGGGTTAGGCCCAGTGAGGTTCGATTGATCAACCTATGCCAGTGAAGTCCATAAGAACATAGGCAGTCATTTTTAGGGTAAATTACATTCACCTCTCCGGAGGTTTGATCAAATAATAACAAGACTCCCATTTTTAAAAAAAATAACACTGACTTCTCTTCTACTTTTGTTGACAGCAATAAGTTGTCCCTGTCGCTACTGTTCCGTAAAAAATTCATTAGTGGTTTGATAATGTAAACAATTTATAATTTAAAATACCAAAATAATCCTCACATATCTAACTACTTTCTTATAAAAAACAATTAATGGAATCAAATAATAATAGTGTTAAACCTATATAAACTCTACCTTGTGGCCAAACAACCAATGCAACAATAGACCAAGACTTAGCCACAAATGCCAAATAGGATCATCCTCTTTATCAATCTATCAACACCCTTCAAGTACAAACCGTTAATTAATCTAGTGTTAATCTATTGACTTCCTCTCTCTCCCTTTTTCTTTCTCTTTCTCTCTCTCTCTCTCATGATGCCTTTCTATTACCACACCACCATCCAAATCATTCATCTTCTCCATTTTTTTCCCTTTTTCTTGTGGTGGTGGTCATCGCGGTGGTCGATTGTAGCATGTGTGGATTGTGGGTGTCGGATCGAGTGTAAAGTTAGGAGTCATGGCCAGGGAAGGGTGATTTTCTTCTTGGTGGCTAAGCCATGCGTGGGGGTTCTACTTGTGGTGGTTTCGCAGGTTGAGGGTAGAGTTTGATTGTGGTTTATTGGGTTCGAGGTGGGCGGTGTGGCGGTGATGATGGTGGATGTGTAGTGGTGGCGTTGCCGTTGATTTGAGTGTGGGTGAGTGGTGGTGACGATTCGTAGGTGGCTTGGGTACTTTTTTGTGATTTTTGGTGGTGGATTGAACACGGTGGTTGATTGAAAACAGTGGTGGTGTTTTTGGATTTGGTTTGAGTTTGTGATGAATTTGATTTAATTAACAGTTAGTCAAATATGGTACGAATTTAAGGGCAAAACTAAATTGATTTGATTTTAGAAATAAATATTTTGGATTGAGGGTATTATAGTTATTTTCTTTGTTGCTATTAGTCAAATAGAATGGTCGTTGCTGACAAGAAAAATCGTATCCATCCTCCAACACCATGACATCACTAGGCAAATGCAATGTAGCAAAGATGAGGACCAGAATACAAACGAACAGGTCAAGATGTATATAAACATATCATCCATTTACACAACTACATCAAACATTAGATTCTGCCGCCACCAGATATGTTCATATTAAACATATTGACACATGTCTCGTGAACAATCCACCCAAGCTAAAACATGAATTACTTCCGTAATATATGCTTCAACAATGAAATAGGAGTCTTAAGTATTAAACTATGTGAAAAAAAAAAATGAAAGAAAGTATGCAGTCTCGTTCATGATGGTTTTAGTCATTGAACTTCAAGCCAACAACACCTAAATGGACTAATGCCAACATCACCAAAGGCCTCTTTTGCTCCACCCCAAATATTTTATCTGTAGATGAAACTCAAAAACTGATCAGATCATCTTTTGGTGATGATTGCTGCTTTTTTGTATCATGCCCCACTTCAGATGTCCCACCTGCTTTCTTACCAAAGATCATCTCGTCAAGATCATCCATCATGTCATCATTACTCCATACTAGGCCTCCAGCACGAGAGCCCACTAGTTTTCGTATCAGGACCTCTCCTTTGCCTAAGCGAGGCAAATCATGAGGCTCAACAACAATAGGTATCATTGCAGGTTCTGGCTCCTGGGGAATCCCAGAAGATTTATTTATTTCTTCGTACTTGGATAGGAGTTTCTGAATTTCATCATTTACATTTAAGGCTTCAACGAGCAAAACCTCACTATCCCCAGCGGTCTCGATGATTCTCTGCACAGTAAATTGAGACTGGTGGCATTGTTGTACAAGTGTTGTTGTCAAGTCATTTGCCAAAACAATTCGGAAGTGTTTAGAAATGTGGAGGAAACATTGACTTGAATATCACAATCTAACCAGTAGCGATACCACCAACTAGAAAGCTTCAAATTTTGAACAGGGGAAAAAAATATCAAACTTCTGCAACAATGCATAGCACGAGCTCCAAAATGACTAAGTACAAATGTACAAAATGAAATACCAACTGTAAGCAATAGCCTATGGTCAGTTAAGTTAGACACTAGTCTGGCACTTTCAGGGTTTTAAAAAAAACCATGTGTTATACAGAATTGATCACTGAATGAACTTTTTCACAAATGCAACCAACAACTATAACTCTCTCTGCTTGAAGCACTAAATTCTTTGTCAGGTAAATTCCTGACCAACACATTTGACAATCCAACTAAAACAATCTCTAAAAAATGAGTTTTTTTTTTTTGGTATGGGTGTTTACCGACATTGGAAACCTAATATACCTGTAAACAATGATCACAATGGACCCAAAATGCATGTTGGTCGTCACACTGCTACATCCATACCTATATGTAGCCACCGCATCCAAGATGGTGGGTTATCATCAGTAGCATGACGATGTTCCCCATAAACGTCGCTACGGCCTATTACGACAACATACAGCCTATCTCCTTGTGGAAGCTAGCTAATAAGTCAAAACATTCTCATTTAGCTTGCTTCCAGGCACTAACATAGGAATACCTCAAGTGTTGAGGATTACCTAATCTTCAACGTAATCCATGAACTTGGATTTTTGAGATCAATCCTTAAAAGGGAATCTCAAGCATGTCCCTGCTTGGCTTGGTTTAGCAAGACCCTAGTAAGAGGCTTAGCAGAGTTCTGCTAGGGAAGAGCATGTATCAAAAAAAATTCATCAAGGGAACCTCAATTCTTTTGAGAGATTACTCTTGCTAGGGAACCATCTAAGACAGAGCCTGAAGTTTTAAAGGATCCCATCATTAGGGAATGTAGAAGAATCAAATAAGGAAATAGAATCCCACAATCGATCACTGGCTCTTTAATCGTTCTCCCACTAATTTGAAACACAATTCAAAAACACTGGTGAGACTCAAAGGTACATGTAGTTTCCACACCCACTGAATAGGTTGCTACTTTACCAAAACACCTACTCACTCGAGCAATAGATGATCATCAAGCCAACACCTTCTCCCTGAAACAGTGTTCTTTTTGTTGACTGTTTAGCTAAAGGATGAACATAAAAAACCGTTTTTACCAGACCAATAGATGACATTAATAGTAATTATCAAAAACCAAGTGACATACAAGAATATAAAGCTTTAATGCACTACTGTTACTCCAACAAGAAGAAGCTTATTGTTGTGAAAAAGGGAATGTAGAATAGGTAAGCCTCTTCCTGCCGATAGACTCTCACAACACTCTTCAAAAGCCTTTTTGATTCCGGAGTAAACAATAGAATGCTACACAAAGAAAAAGAAAAAGAAATTTTAATAAAAAAAAAATACCACTGAATCCAAAAAAAATCAAACTTAGTTTAATCCTCTAAAAAATATATTGTTAAAGAAAAAATTACTTTGAATTAGAAAACATATTACTACTCCTATTCGATGAGTCGGTGAACAGGACTACCATTAGACGTGATATTTGAAGTCTCTCTATATGTATTTCGAAACAACCAAAGTAAATCATGGGTGAATTTCGATGGCATCTTGTAAATGTAAAACCTAAGAGCTGAAGGTGCCAGTGGCGACAATACAGGATTGAATGATTGTTCAAAAAATCTCTTAGTCTCTCTTTGACATCAAATCATCCAACTTCTTCACATCCTCTTCGCTCACTGTATGCATTGTATCATCCAAAACCGTATGACATCTCGGATTCTTTGAGGTGGAGGTCAGGAATTCTTCGAGTGAAGCCACAAAGGAGTACTCAACTTAAGGATTGAGTTTAGAGATCTGGAAAATGTGGATAAGGTTGGTATGGGATGGAGATGAGAACACAGAGAAGAAGTAGAAGAGAACAGAGAGAGCCCAGACAGCAAGAATGAATAAGAGGATCGGAGATCTAGTTTTAGAGTTTCCGGAAGGGAAAGAATGTCTTCCGGCCATTGGATTGGGCACACACACACAAATAATTATGCAGAATGGTTTTTTCTTTTCAAAGGATTTTACACCGATAGATAGAGAGAGAAGAGCAAACGGGTGGGGAGAGTCATAAATGTTAAGTCCAGAGAACCTGGTGCTACAAAAGTTGGAGTCTCCTAACCGAAAGTTGTATGGTGCACCGTTTCATATCCATTGAAATTAACAGTTTGATATCTACACATGTCAAAATAATAATTGAATAATAAAATCTCATCAAAAAATAATAACTAATAAATAAGTGAATAACAATAAGTGAAAAATAATTAATTGAATAATACAATAAGTGAATAATAACATCTGAATAAAAAAAAGATAACAATAACAAATAAATAATTGAATCACAATTAGTGAATAATAATAAATTAAATAACATAATAAGTGAATAATACAATAAAACATGAATTTTAATTGTATAATTTAAAATATTTGATATTTTATTTTTGATTGAAGTATTTTTGGTCTAAGTATAACATTTTAAATTTCAAGCCCAACAAGGTTCGATTGACTAAGCTATGCCAATGAAGTCCATGAGAACATGGACCGGTTATTTTTTGGGTAAATTACTTTCACCTCTCTTGAGGTTTGGTCAAATAATAACAAGACCCCAATTTATTAAAAAAATAACACTAACTTCCCTTCTGCTTTTGTTGTCCGCAATAAGTTGTCCATGTCGTTATTGTTTCGTAAAAAAATCATTAGTGGTTTGATAATGTAAAAAATTTATAATTTAAAATACCAAAATTATCCTCACATATCTAACTACTTTGTCTAAAAAAAATTAATGGACCGAGACTTGGCCAGAGATCCCCAAATAGGATCATCCTCTTTATCAATCTATCAAAACCCTTCAAGTACAGACCGTTAATTAATGGACCAAAATAATAATAATGTTAAACCTATATAAACTCTACCTTGTGGCCAAACAACCAATGCAATAGTGGACCAAGACTTGGCTAGAGATCCCCAAATACGATCATCCTCTTTATCAATCTATCAAAACCCTTCAAGTATAGACCGTTAATTAATCTAGTGTTAATCTCTCTCTCTCTCTCTCTCTCTCTCTCTCTCGTGATGCCTTTCTATTACCACACCGCCATCAAAATCATTCATCTTCTCCATTTCTTTCTTTTTTTCTTGTTGTGGTGGTCAACGGGGTGGTCAATTGTAGCATGTGTGGATTATGGGTGTCTGATCGGGTGTAGAGTGAGGAGTCATGGCCATGGAAGGGTGGTTTTCTTCTTGGTGGGTGAGCCATACGTGGGGGTTCTACTTGTGGTGGTTTCGCAGGTGAAGGGTAGAGTTTGATTGTGGTTTATTGGGTGGTATTTTTTGGGCTTGAGGTGGGCGGTGTGGCGGTGACGATGGTGGATGTGTAGTGGTGGCATTGCAGTTGATTTGAGTGTGGGTGAGTGGTGGTGGCGATTCTTAGGTAGCTTGGGTACTTTTTTGTGATTTTCGGTGCTGGATTGAACACGGTGGTGTTGTTTTTGGATTTAGTTCCAGTTTGTGATCAATTTGATTTAATTAACAGTTAGTCAAATATGGTACGAATTTAAGGGCAAAACTAAATTGATTTGATTGTAGAAATATATATTTTGGATTGAGGGTATTATCGTTATTTTCTGTTGCTATTAGTCAAATAGAATGATCGTTGCTGACAAGAGAGATCAGTGTTATTTTTCAAATAATAGAGGGTTTAATTGTTATTTGATCAAACTTTAAGGGAGATGAATGTAATTTATCCTATTTTTTAACAAAACTTAATTCCACCCTACTTTACTTATATACCTATAAGCACGTTGCAATGCTATGTTATTACTATGTTTGATATCAATTCAGTAAATCATTCATTGCCACATCAAATATATCTCAGGCAGAGACTAGTTTTCCATCTCCTTGAGTTGGGTCAATGAAAAGAAGCAAAATTGTACCCATCTTCAACACCATGACATCACTAGGCAAATGCAATGCAGCAAAGATGAGAACCAGAATGCAAACGAACAGATCAGGATGTATATAAACATATCATCCATTTACACAACTACATCAAACATTAGATTCTGCCGCCACCAGATATGTTCATATTAAACATATTAACATATGTCTCGTGAACAATCCACCTAAGTAAAACATGAATTACTTCCGCAATATATGCTTTAACAATGAAATAGAAGTCTCAAGTACTAAACCATGTGAAAAAAAAAAAGGAAGAAACTATGCAGTCCCGTTCATGATGGTTTTAGTCATTGAACTTCATGCCAACAACACCTAAATGGACTAATTCCAACATCATCAAAGGCCTCTTCTGCTCCACCCTAAAAATTTTACCTATAGATGAAACTCAGAAGCTGAAAAATTCATCTTTGGGTGATTATTTCCGCTTTTTTATATCATGCCCCACGTCAGATGTTTTACTTGCTTTCTTATCAAAGATCATCTCGTCAAGATCATACATCAGGCCATCATTGCTCCCTCTTGCGGATCCACCACAAGTGCCCACTAGTTTTCGTATCAGGGCCCCTTCTTTGCCTAAGCGAGGCGATTTATTAGGCTCAACAGCAAAAGGTATCATTACAGGTTTTGGCCCCAGGGAAATCCTTGAAGATTTATTCATTTCTTCGTACTTGGATAGGACTTTCTAAATTTCATCATTCACATATAAGGATTCAAAGAGCAAGGCCTCATTATCTCCAGCGGTCTCGATGATTCTTTGCACAGTAAATTGGGACTGGTGACACTGCTGTACACGTGTGGCTGTCAAATCATCCTGCCAAAACAATTCAAAAATGTTTAGGAGAATGTCTCCAAATGTCGTCAATAAAGGAGAATGTGTTATTACTATGTTGTCCTAAAAAAAACGAGACTGATCAGTTCATTTAGAGAGATTGAGAGAGAAACCAATCTTCAATTTGGACGGGCTCAAGCACACATACGCATCAACGCCAAACAAAGAGGAGACTCAAACCTGACCAGACTTGCTTTGTACCACCACCACATGCCCTCTCCGACAATCCCACCATCACCACCACGACACCCCCCTCTCTCAGACACAAAACTCCAGTTGTTCCCATATATCCAACCTATATATCAACAGGCACCATCTCCCCAGTTTAGACCACGGTGTCCACACCATTTAGACTATCCAACCTTTTTAGACATCATGGTAATTGTTCTAACTTTACTTATATGCACAACCAGATAAATCCGACTATAATTTGCAGTTCAAAAGATAGAATTGGAAATCAAAAGAGCGGCATAATGATAACTAAGTGCATGCCAACTTTTACTTGGGATTTCTTATGTAAAAAATGTTTTCCAACTCATTCCACAAGTATCCATGCGAAGTATCTTATCAAAGGCTTGAACTAGTGGTTTAGCTAATCTCCCTCTAACAGAAAAAATCTTTTAACCATCCAATGCAGTTTTTTAGACATGTGAAAGAATTGTATTACTTGAAGACCTGATGTGAAACAGGTGCATCTTTTACATTAGACATTATCAACATAGGTAATCCCAAGAAAAGAATGGGAAGCAATTGTCTGTTCTAACCTTATCTCATGTGATTGCAAATATGCTCCCTTCATCCCAAACACAAACACAATACCAAGCAAAAACAGAAAAACAACTCACAATCAACAATCAAGACAGCGGAGTTGGGCCTGTGAAGTTGGAATGCTTGGAGTCACAAGTGCATGGGCTTCAAGATTCTTTCACTACATGTTGCGACCTCCGAGTATGAAGCTTGATGTTCACCAACTTACCCGCTAACTATTAACACAACCAAAGATAAAAAAGAAATCAAATTTTTCAGATAATTATTTAGTTTTGATTGCTTCTCTTAAACTAGAAATCACAAAGGCAGGCAATAAACCACATTCCTGAAAAGCTAAAAGTGCTTTTTACCAAGGCACTTGTCCATGGAGTTTGCCCGTTTAGTAATATTAAACATAAAAGTATGAAACCAAGTACTTCATTTTCAAAACTTAGCTATCATAAGAACTTCAAGAAAATTATCACTCAGGCAAGATACAAAAAGGCAGGCTAAATAGTTCACTTCTTGATCCTTCTTTCTCATCTTCAACAACAATTAAAATCACAAACAAAAAGCCAAATGTATTCTAAATAAGACGAATGAGTAACAAACCATTCTCCAAATCAAGTCTTCTAGACCCATAGGTTGAGCTGGATGGGAATATAGGAAATGCCTTGAGACCTATAAGCAAAAGATGTTAACAAAGTAAGCAACAAAATGTCGTATGTGTATTTAATTTCAAAAAGAAAGAAAACCTCCATAAAAGTTCTCAACATCTCCAATTGGTTAAGGTAAGAAGCTTGGAGATCAAATATTTCAACCAACTGATTGGATCGCATCAGGTTATTAAAGGGCTATTTCCTTTTGTTTTGTTAAGATGTAATGATTTTGATGTATTTTCCCTTATTGTGTTCTTTATGGGATGGATCTCTCATCCACTTATTTTGTAATTTTTTTTTTTTCAATTATTGAAATTTTTGTTTCTTATCAAAAAAAAAAATAAATTCCAACCAATTAACCTGATAAACAAAACAAGTACTACCACAAGTAGCCAGAACTTATTTGCAAAATCAGACCTTAGCTAAGTTCATTTGTATTGCCTTGATTTGAGCAGGACTAACACTTCTGAGGAACTTTAAAAGTGATCCCAACTGCACTTGTCCATGGAGTTTGCCTGTCTAGTAATATTAAATATAAAATTATGAAACCAAGTACTTCGTTTTCAAAACTTAGCTATCATAAGAACTTCAAGAAAATTATCGCTCAGGCAAGATACTAAAAGGCAGGCTAAACAGTTCACTTCGTGATCCTTATTTCTCATCTTCAACAACAATTAAAATCACAAACAAAAAGCCAAATGTATTCTAAATAGGACGAATGAGTAAAAAACCATTCTCCAAATCAAGTCTTCTGGACCCATAGGTTGAGCTGGATGGGAATATAGGAAATGCCTTGAGACCTGTAAGCAAAACATGTTAACGAAGCGAGGAACAAAATGTCGTATGTGTATTTAATTTCATAAAGAAAGAAAACCTCCATAAAAGTTCTCGACATCTCCAATTGGTTAAAGTAAGAAGCCTGGAGATCAACTATTTCAACCAACTGATAGGATCGCATCAGATTATTAAAGGGTTATTTCCTTTTGTTTTGTTGAGATGTAATGATTTTGAATTATTTTCCCTTATTGTGTTCTTTATGGGATGGATCTCTCATCCACTTCTTTTGTAATTTGTTTTTTTTCAATTACTGAAATTTTTGTTTCTTATCAAAAAAAAAAATTCCAACCAATTAACCAGATAAACAAAAGAAGTATGAAACCAAGTACTTCGTTTTCAAAACTTAGCTATCATAAGAACTTCAAGAAAATTATCACTCAGACAAGATACTAAAGGCAGGCTAAACAGTTCACTTCTTGATCCTTCTTTCTCATCTTCAACAACAATTAAAATCACAAACAAAAAGCCAAATGTATTCTAAATAGGACGAATGAGTAACAAACCATTCTCCAAATCAAGTCTTCTAGACCCATAGGTTGAGCTGGTTGGGAATATAGAAAATGCCTTGAGACCTGTAAGCAAAAGATGTTAACAAAGTGAGGAACAAAATGTCATATGTGTATTTAATTTCATAAAGAAAGAAAACCTCCATAAAAGTTCTCGACATCTCCAATTGGTTAAAGTAAGAAGCTTGGAGATCAACTATTTCAACCAACTAATTGGATCGCATCATATTATTAAAGGGTTATTTCCTTTTGTTTTGTTGAGATGTAATGATTTTGATGTATTTTCCCTTATTGTGTTCTTTATGGGATGGATCTCTCATCCACTTCTTTTGTAATTTTTGTTTTGTTCAATTACTGAAATTTTTGTTTTTTATCAAAAAAAAAATTCCAACCAATTAAATTGATAAACAAAAGAAGTACTACCACAAGTATCCAGAACTTATTTGCAGAATCAGACCTTAGCTAAGTTCATTTGCATTGCCTTGATTTGAGCAGGACTAACACTTCTGAGGAACTTTAAAAGTGATCCCGATTGCACAGCGTCGCTCAAAGAAACAAACAAAGCTATCTGCAATAAATTAACAAATGTGAAAGCCTCAGGAACCCAATACCAACTATTTTTTATCAGTTAAGTGGAAGTTCTAGAAGAATAAAATCTCTAGAAGACCACATTGCAGGGGAAATTCCAAGTACACATGCATACAAAGAAGTGCCAATGGCTCAATAGAATCGAAGAATCACCCAAAAATTTTTCAAAGGTTGATTGTACTTGGATATCAAACCATATTGCAAGTAAAAGTTAAAAATTGTACTCAATCACGTGTACTTCAGCTTATCACCCAATACTAACTGCTCAAGGAAAGGAAACCAACATAAAGACACAAAGACAAAGATGAGATAGTCTGCAATTCAGATGATGCAATCACAATGTTTTACAAGCTATGCCTGTTGTGGCCAAACTGTTAACATAATTGATTAATAAACATATAGAGAAGGAATCAACTCACAATTTTTTAAATTCTTGATGTGAAGTAACAGATTCATCAAAATTGCCAAAGAGGGTAAACAATAATATATAATTCATTCCATATAATTGAACGGATTGGCAGCTGATAACACAATTTAAATAGTGAATCTTAAACAATAGAACAAGACATTATATCCTCCTCCTTTCGGAAGGTGCTCATCAATTTAGCTTAATATACGGTTTGCCAACCAAACAACTAACTTCCTTTTTCCACAGTTCTGCTTCTATGTCACATGAATTATGAATGTGTGTGCAAGTATATTTGTACGATCTTGAAACAAGATTTAAATTTAATTTATGCTCAGAATATCTATGCAACTCCTCTTATCTAAAACCGTGTACAACTTAAAAATACAAGTTACAAAACTCGACTTATTGCCCCTTGACAATCATCCTTCATTTCTACTCCACTTTTCACCCCCATCATCTTATGTTAGTGCTTTTACAAGATACATCATAAGAAGAAACAAGCACCAAAAAATTAAAAGGGCATACCTTCCAATAATCAAGTATTCCTTTAAAGGGAAGCTCTAGTTCATCACTAATAATAACACGAATACACCCACTAACAATAGCATCAAACAATCTAGCAGATGATGGAGTGTCACCAGTTGGACATAGGCAATAAATAGACCTAATAACCAAAGAAGCAACTCACTCTATTAAAAAAGTACAAGAAGAAAGGTACACAGTGAACATTGTAAATTTTGCAACTTGAAATTTACTTGCGCATGCCACTCTGAGCTACTGCTTTTCCTGCCTCTCCAGCACTCCCCTCCTTTATAACTACACCATCAACACCATTAAGTTATGACACAATTTTGGCACGTATCTTTCCTCCCTGAAAGTAAAACACATTAAATTATTTTGCACCTAGTGATGCACACAATAACCACAAGCCAATCCAAATATTAGCCAAAGAATTAATATTACGAGTTAGGAAAGACGGTGGAAGAAATCAAATCTTAATGGCCTACCAAGGAGTAATGTCATTGGCCCGAAGGATGTGATGATCAGAAACACTTAATAAAAGTCAACACAACCGCTTACACCGAACTACCATGGGTCAGAGATGTGGGTTTATCTAGCCTAGTCATTTTAAACATAGATCAAAGTATCTGTCCTAATGACACGGTTTTCTATCAGAATAGCAATTCACATCACAATTATTTTTTTTCACATTTTTTTGATTTTTACTATCTCATCCAAGGATTGTCGAAAGACTTTTTAAGGTCCACAATCCTCTGATTTTGTGACCAAACTGCATTGTAATGTCCAGACATTATGACCACTAACATAATTTGACACTGCAAGAGATGATCACTTTGTTCTTAAAGAAACAATTGGTTGACACCTTACAGCATCATTTACTTTCTGTAAATTATGACAATTGTCATCAGATCCCATCTGAATATGTGTTGAAAGGTAACATATGGGTTTTCCCACTTCTGACTAACCACAAGAGACAGACCCCAAAACTCAGCGGAAGACTTACGATAAGGTAATGATTGTTCGAAAAACTTGTTAGTCTCTCTTCGACCTCAAATCTTCCAACTTCTTCACATCCTCTTTGCTCTCTGTATGCACTGTATCATCCGAAACCATATGACATATCTGATTCTTCGAGGTGGAGGTCAAGAATTCTTCGAGTGAAGCCACGAAGGATTACTCAACTTTAGGATTGAGTATAGAGATCTAGAAATAATGGATAGGTCTGCTATGGGAAGGAGATGAGATCACAGAGAAGATGTTGAAGAGAATAGAGAGAGCCAAGATGGCAAGAATGAATAAGAGGATCAGAGATCTGGTTTTAGGGTTTTCGGAAGGGAAGGAATGTCTTCCGGCCATTGGATTGGGCACACACACACAAATAATTATGCAGAATGGTTTCTTCTCTCTCTATATTCGTTTTCAAGTGAGTTTACACTGAGAGATAGAGAGAGAAGAGCAAACAAGAGGGAGAGTGGTCAATGTTAAGTTCAGAGAACCTAGTGCTGCAAAAGTTGGAGTCTTCAAGCCGAAAGTTGTATGGTGCACCGTTTCATATCCACTGAAATTAAATGTTTGATATCTACACATGTCAGAATAATAATTGAATAATAAAATCTGATCAAAAAATAATAACTAATAAATAATTGAATAACAATAAATGAACAATAATAAATTGAATAACACAATATATGAAAAATAACATCTGATTAAAAAAAAAGAGAACAACAACAAATAAATAATTGAATCACAAGAAGTGAATAATAATAAATTAAACAACACAATAAGTGAATAATACAATAGAACAAGAATTTTAATTGTAAAATTTAAAATATTTGATATTTTATGTTTGATTGAACTATTTTTTATCTAAGTATAACATTTTAAACTTAAGGGAGTCCGGATATAATTTATTATACAGTAGGGTCTAAGTGTTACAACCGTACAAACTTTAGGAGGTCTGAGTGATTAAATGACAAATTTCTGGAGGTCTAAATATAATTCTCCCTCAAAGAATTTAAATTTTAATTATCAAACATACTTAATTAATAAGTGTCAAATATTTTTCTTTTTAAGTGCTGAATTTGGATTAACAAACACACCTAAAATTCATGTAATGCTTTGCCTTTCCATCGTTCAGTGTGCAACCCTACCTATGCCAAGCCCAGCAAGGTTGCGTTAGGCCCAACGAGGTTCGATTGACTACCCTATGCCAATGAAGTCCATGAGAACGGAGGCTACTCATTTTTAGGGTAAATTACATTCACTTCTCCTGAGGTTTGGTCAAATAATAACTAGACCCCCATGTTTTAAAAAAAAATAATACGGACTTCCCTTCTGCTTTTGTTGTCCACAATAAGTTGTCCCTGTCACTACTGTTCCGTAAAAAAATCATTAACGGTTTGATAATGTAAACAATTTATAATTTAAAATACCAAAATTATCCTCACACATCAAACTACTTTATTTTAAAAAAAAATTAATGGAACCAAATAATAATAGTGCTAAACCCATATAAACTCTACCTTGTGGCCAAACAACCGACGCAACAATGGACCAAGACTTGGCTAGAGATGCCAAATAGGATCATCCTCTTTATCAATCTATCAACACCCTTCAAGTACAGGCCGTTAATTAATCTAGTGTTAATCTATTGACTTCCTCTCTCTCTCTCTCTCTCTTTCTCTGTCTCTCTCTCATGATGCCTTTCGATTACCAAACCACCGTCCAAATCATTCATCTTCTCCATTTCTTTCTCTTTTTCTTGTTGTGGTGGTCATCGCGGTGGTCGATTGTAGCATGTGTGGATTGTGCGTGTCTGATCGGGTGTAGAGTTAGGAGTCCTGGCCATGGAAGGGTGGTTTTCTTCTTGGTGGGTGAACCATGCGTGGGGGTTCAACTTGTGGTGGTTTCGCAAGTTGAGGGTAGAGTTTGATTGTGGCTTATTGGGTGGTATTTTTGGGTTTGAGGTGGGCGGTGTAGCGGTGGTGGATGTGTAGTGGTAGCATTGCCATTGATTTGAGTGTGGGTGAGTGGTGGTGGCGATTCGTAGGTGGCTTGGGTACTTTTTGTGATTTTCGGTGGTGGATTGAGCACGATGGTTGATTGAACATAGTGGTGGTGTTTTTGGATTTGGTTTGAGTTTGTGATGAATTTAAGGGCAAAAATAAATTTGGTACAAATTTAAGGGCAAAACTAAATTGATTTGATTTTAGAAATAAATATTTTGGATTGAGGGTATTATAGTTATTTTCCTTGTTGCAATTAGTCGAATAGAACGTCATTGTTAACAAGAGAGGTCAGTGTTATTTTTCAAACAAAAAAGAGTTTAATTATTATATTATCAAACTTTAATGGAGATGATTGTAATTTATCCTATTTTTAAAGAAAACTTAATTCCACCCTACTTTACTTGTATACCTATAAGCCCCTTGCAATGCTATGCCATTACTGTGTATGATATCAATTCAGTAATTCATGCACTACCACGACAAATATATCTCAGGCAGAGACTTATTTTCCATCTCCCTGGGTTGGGTCAATGAAAAGAAGCAAAACTATACCCATCCTCCAACACCATGACATCACTAGGCAAATGCAATGCAGCAAAGATGAGAACCATAATACAAACAAACGGGTCAAGATGTATATAAACATATCATCCATTTACACAACTACATCAAACATTAGATTCCGCCGCCACCAGATATTTTCATATTAAACATATTGACACATGTCTCTTGATCAATCCACCCAAGTAAAACATGAATTACTTCCGCAATATTTGCTTTAATAATGAAATAGGAGTCTTGAGTATTAAACCATGCGAAAAAAAAAAAAGAAAAAGAAAGAAAGTATGCAATCTCGTTCATGAAAGTTTTAGTCATTGAATTTCATGCCAACAACACCTAAATGGACTAATGCCAACATCATCAAAGGCCTTTTCTGCTCCACCCCAAAAATTTTATCGGTATATGAAACTAAAAAGCTGATCAGATCATCTTTTAGTGATGATTGTTGCTTTTTTGTATCATGCCCCACTTCAAATGTTCCACCTACTTTCTTACCCAAGATCATCTCATCAAGATCATCTATCATGTCATCATTGCTCCCTCTTGGGGCTCCACCATGAGAGCCCACCGGTTTTTGTATCATGGCCTCTTCTTTGCCGAAGCCAAATGATTCATTAGGCTCAATAACAATAGGTATCATTGAAGGTTCTGGCTCCTGGGGAGTCCCTGAAGATTTATTCATTTCTTTGTACTTGGATAGGACTTTCTGAATTTCATCATTCAAATTTAAGGCTTCAAAGAGCAAGGCCTCATTATCTCGAGTGGTTGCGATGATTCTCTGGACAGTAAATTGGGATTGGTGACACTACTGTACAAGTGTGGCTGTCAAGTCATCCTGCCAAAACAATTCAAAAAGGTTTAGGAGAATGTCTCCACACGCCGTCAATAAAGGAGAATGTGTTATTACTATGTTGTCCTAAAAAAATGAGACGGATTAGTTCATTCTAAGAGATAGAGAGAGAAACCAATCTTCACTTCCGATGGGCACAAGCACACACAAACACACAGAAGCATCAACACCAAATAGATAGGAGACTCAAACCCAACCAGACTTGCTCTATACCTACACCACACACCCTCTCCGACAATACCACCACCACCACCACGACACCCCCCTCTCTCAGACACAAAACTCCAGTTGTTCCCACATATCCAACCTACAGATCAATAGGCACCATCTCCCCAGTTCAGACCACGATGTCCACACCATTTAAACTATCCAACCTTTGTAGACATCAAAGTAATTATTCTAGCTTTACTTATCTGCACAACCGAATAAATTTGACAATAATTGAAGTTCAAAAGATTGAATTGGAAATCGAAAAAGCTTCATAATGATAACTAAGTGCATGCCAACTTTTTCTTGGGATTTGTTATGTAAAAAAGTTTTCCAACTCATTCCACAAGTATCCATATGAAGTATCTTACCAAAGGCTTGAACTGGTCGTTTAGCTAATCTCCCCTAACAGAAAAAATATTTTAACCATCCAATGCAATTTTCTAGACACGTGAAAGAATTGTATTACCTGTAGACATGATGTGAAACAGGAGCATCTTTTACATTAGACATTATCAACATAGGCAATCCCAAGAAAAGAATGGGAAGTAATTGCCTGTTCTAATCTTATCTCATGTGATTGCAGATATGCTCTCTTCATCCCAAACACAAACACAATACCTAGCAAAAATAAAAAAAACAACTCACAATCAACAATCAAGACAACAGAGTTGGGCTTGTGAAGTTGGAATGCTTGCAGTCACAAGTGCACAGGCTTATAGATTCTTTCACTACACATTGCAACCTCCGGGTATGAAGCTTGATGTTCACCAACTTACCCACTAACTATTAACACAACCAAAGATCAAAAAGAAATAAAAATTTTCAGATAATTATTTAGTTTTGATTGCTCCTCTTAAACTAGAAATAACAAAGGCGAGCAATAAACCACATTCCTGAAAATCTCAAAGTGCTTTTTACCAAGGCACTTGTCCTAGAAGTTTGCTCGTCTAGTAATATTAAACATAAAAGTATGAAACCAAGTACTTCATTTTCAAAGCTTGGCTATCATAAGAACTTCAAGAAAATTATCACTCGGGCAAGATACTAAAAGGCAGGCTAAACAATTCACTTCTTGATCCTTCTTTCTCAACTTCAACAACAATTAAAATCGCAAACAAAAACCCAAATGTATTCTAACTAGGACGAAAGAGTAACAAACCATTCTCCAAATCAAGTGTTCTGGACCCATAGGTTGAGATGGATGGGAATATAGGAAATGCCTTGAAAACTGTAAGCAAAAGATGTTAACAAAGTGAGGAACAAAATTTTGTATTTGTATTTAATTTCATAAAGAAAGAAAACCCCTATAGAAGTCCTCGACATCTCAAATTGGTTAAAGTAAGAAGCTTGGAGATCAAATATTCCAACCAACTGATTGGATTGGATCATGTTATTAAAGGGTTATTTCCTTTTGTTTTGTTGAGATGTAATGATTTTGATGTATTTTCCATTTTTGTGTTCTTTATGGGATGGATCTCTCATCCACTTCTTTTGTAATTTGTTTTTTTTCAATTACTGAAACTTTCGTTTCCTATCCAGAAAACAAAATCCAACCAATTAACCTGATGAACAAAAGAAGTACTACCACAAGTATCCAAAACTTATTTGCAAAATCAAACCTTAGCTAACTTCATTTGCATTGCCCTGATTTGAGCAGGACTAACACTTCTGAGGAACTTTAAAAGTGATCACAGCTGCATAGCGTCGCTCGAAGAAACAAACAAAGCTATCTACAAAAAATTGACAAAAGTGAAAGCATCAGCAACCCAATACCAACTATTTTTTATCGGTTAAGTGGAATTTCTAGAAGAATAAAATCTTCAGAAGAACACATGGCAGAGGAAATTCCTAGTACAGACGCATACAAAGAAGTGCCAATGGCTTAAAATAATCGAAGAAATCACCCAAAAACTTTTCAAAGGTTGATTGTACTTGGATATCACACCTTATTGCAAATAGAAGTTAAAAATTGTAGTCAATCACATGTACTTCAGCTTATCACCCAATACCAATTGTTCCAGGAAAGGAAACCAACATAAAGACACAAAGACAATGATGAGATAGTTTGCAATTCAGATGATGCAATCACAATGTTTTACTAGCTATGCCTGTTATGGCCAAACTGTTAACATAAATGATTAACAAACATATAGAGAAGTAGCAGATTCATCAAAATTGCCAAAGAGGGTAGACATTTATATATAATTCATTCCATGTAACTGAAAGGATTGGCAGCTAATAACACAATTTAAACAGTGAATCTTAAACATTAAAACAAGACATTATATCCTCCTCCTTTCAGAAGGTGCTCATCAGTTAAGCTTAATACATGGTTTGCCACACAAAGAACTAACTTCCTTCTTCCACAGTTCTGCTTCTATATGTCACATGAATTATGAATGTGTGTGCAAGTACATTAGTACGATCCTGAAAAAAGATTTAAATTTAATTTATGCTCAGAATATCAATGCAACTCCTCTTATCTAAAATCGTGTACAACTTAAAAAAACAAATTACAAAACTCGACTTATTGCCCCTTGACAATCATCCTTCACTTCTACTCCACTTTTCACCCCATCATTTTATGTTAGTGCTTTTACGAGATACATCATAAGAAGAAACTAGCACCAAAAACTTAAAAGGGCATACCTTCCGATAATCAAGTATTCCTTCAAAGGGAAGCTCAAGTTCATCACTAACAATAACATGAATACACCCACTAACACTAGCATCAAACAATCTAGCAGATAGTGGAGTGTCACCAACTGGACATAGGCAATAAATAGACCTGATAACCAAAGAAGCAACGCACCCTATTAAAAAAGTACAAGAAGAAAGGTACACAGTGAATATTGTAAATTATGCAACTTGAAATTTACTTGAGCATGCCACTCTCATCTACTGCTTTTCTTGTCTCTCCAGCACTCCCCTCCTCTATAACTACACCATCAGCACCATTAAGTTCTGACACAAGTTTAGCACGTATCTTTCCTCCCTAAAAGTAAAACACATTAAATTATTTTGCACCTAGTGATGCACACAAAAACCACAAGCCAATCCCAATGTCAGCCAAAGAAGTAATATTACAAGTTAGGAAAGGTGATGGAAGATATCAAACCCTGATGGCCTTCCAAGGAGTAATGTCATTGGCCCGAATGATGTGATGATCAGAAACACTTAATAAAAGTCAACACAACAGCTTAAACCGAACTACCATGGGTCAGAGATGTGGGTTTGTCCAATCTGCTCATTGTAAACTTAGATCTAACTATATGTCCTAATAACACAATTTTTTTATCAAAGTATCTCTTCACATCACAATTATTTCTTTCACATTCTTCTGATTTTTACTATCTCATCCAAGGATTGTCCAAAAATTGTTTAAGGTCAGCTATCCTCTGATTTTGTGACCAAACTGCATTGTAATGTCCAGACATTATGACCACTACCATAATTTGACACCGCAAGTGATGATCACTTTGTTCTTAATGAAACAATGGGTTGACACTTTACACCGTCATTTACTTTCAGTAAATTATGACAATTGTCACCAGATCCCATCTAGATATGTGTTGAAAGGTAGCATATAGGTTTTCCCACCTATTAATTATCACAAAAATGTGTCAATCTGCATGTCATCAATTATTTCTCAACCAACTCTCTAAAGTACTCGTGAATCTAACTTACTATCACAATCACCTTTGAACAATTTCACACTACCACATCATGAAATCATTTTGCATCAGGACATTTTATTCTCTTTTGGGAGATTTGCTTTTGTGAGGATGTAATTTTAAGTGAATACACATTTAGTTGCAGTCATGATCGAATCTCTCGAGGCTACAGTAGTCGTATTGCAAAGAAGTATTTGGGAGAAAATATTACTAGCTATATTGCAAGTCCATAAGACAAGCATAATGTCAAGTATACTTTCAAACAGGAAAAATAGTTCTAAGTTTATATACTACCAACAATACCACCATATCAATTGAAAAAACTCAATATAATTCAGTTATTTGTCTTAGCCGAAACTCTTACAGCATTTCTCTTCTGTCTTCCACGAAAAAATAGCAGTGTGCTTCTCTTAGATTCAATTTCTGACAAGCATTTTGCATCACATAGATCGACATTGGGGACATTGGGAAGTATTAGGTCTTTCGCAAGCCAAACTTGTCCAGGCTTGTACCTATAGGTTTAGGTATAATCACACACATCAAAAGCTACAATAAATTATATTTTTTGGATGCATTTGCAACTTGAGTCAGATATTCACCAATTTTCTGTCGAGTCCATATCTAGTAGCAGCCAAATTGAATTCTTCATAAATCTGCGGATGGACATGAAAGACTAGGGATGGTGAACTGGAAGTATGAGGTCTCTTCCTTCAGATTGTTTCCATGCAAGCTGCTCCGTGACCCATTTCAAAGCTTCCTCCAATCTCCTTTGTGTTAGAACTTCAGAGCACATAGGCAAACGCTATATTATGTTAAAGATTAAAGCTTTACCACATGAATAATATACGTTCATGTGAAATCTATAGGCGATCTCTGCTAGACAAGTTATATCACTGCAGCTATAATTAACAGAAATCTCCATATAAAAAAGACAACTAGAGGACCACAAATTTCCTCGTGGTTGTTAACTACAACGATGCATAAAATGAGTAAAAGAATAAAAGCCTATGCCAAGAGGCAAATGCACATGTGGTCCACTTCCAAATATTTGGGCTATGCACATGGTTAAACACATGTCACAAAAGATCATCCGTTTGAGTCTCGGTGTGTAAGTCAATTTTCGTTCCATTAATCAAGCGATCAAACCAAGTTAAAGTAGCTTTCTGATAGCTATGTGGTGCTTGAGGTAACCACCTTAATGTTGTACACCAATGGAATCTAGTTGGGGAAATTGAAGATGAAAAATAGTTTTTAGTAAGAAGCACTCCTCATGACCCTGGTATTATACACATTGAATGATACCAGGCACATCCAAACACCCAAACATCATGCGGAGTCAATCCTTCACTACTTTCAGCTCAAGTTTTTCAAAAGAGCAATAATAGTTACCATTGCCCAGTGGGGATGAGATCCCTAATCCTCCATAAATAAACTACATCATGACAACATCAAGACAAAGGAATGCTGAGAGAATGTACTTGTAGGAACCACCTTCAAGGTAATAACTTTTTTAGGTAAAGGTTACACTTTTGCCAGCCTATTTAAATCCAATCTGTCTTGTAAAGGTATTTGTCCATCTAATCCAACCATCTTATTAAAGGCAATCAAATCTAAGTAATTGTATCAAATATCAATTAGAACAGCAATGTCTACAAACATACCAAATTTGTCAAAAAACTACAAGTATCAAATAAACCAATAGCAGAAATCATAAATAGGATGTCATAACATGATAGGCAGAATGCTTCATAACCCACCCCTACGTTAGAATTGTAATCATGTTTGAAATTACCCATCAGGGTTGTCACAATTTTTGTTGGAAAAAAATCAAAAGCAAGACTTTTTACCCAGCTTTGTACTTTTATCATAATCTATCTTTAAAATTCAAAATATGCAGTTACCTAATCATTCTATTAAGTGCAACAAAAGAAAGACAAAGAAGAAAGGAATAAATAAGACGAGCGAAAAAAAGTATCAAGGTCCTTAGGCACAGTCAAGAGTCTAAAGACCAACAAGTCAACCACAAACCAAGGCACCATCTTATTGATGCTTGCCTAGAAACAAATGTTTAAAACATATTTATAGAGGGAGAAAAAAGTGTCAGCCAATAAGGAAGCAACACCTCACAAAGCATGTGATAGAGTGTGCCTAGGATTTGAGGAATACTGGTCGCCAATGTCAAAACGTTAACCACAATATGCCTAAGACTTGTGACTTGTACTAACCACAAGAGACAGACCCAAAAACTCAGCAAAAGACTTGCGATAAGGTCCAACCAACCAGCCCATCATTCCACGCTAATGGTTCTTACATTCTTTTCGGGTTGAGCTGCTAACGACACAACCAAGCAATGAGGTGTGTCCAACCTTATGCATTCACAATGACGGGACTGACATCTCCATTGCATACACTCCGGCATTCAAGATGGGCTTACTGGCGGCTCATTGCTATAGCCTATTACAACTACAAAGAGCCTATCTCCTTGTGGAAGCTTGCAAATAGGTCTTAACATTCTCATATAGCTTGCTTCCAGGCACTAACATAGGAGTACCTCAGGTGTTGAGGATTACCTAATCTTCAAGGTAATCCATGAACTTGGATTTTCAAGATCAATCCTTAAAAGGGAATATCAAGCATGTCCCTGCTTGGCTCAGTTTAGCAAGGCCCTAGTAGGAGGCTTAGCAGAGTTCTGTAGGGGAGAGCATGTATCAGAAGGAACTCATCAAGGGAACCTCAATTCTTTCGAGAGATTACTCTTGCTAAGTTACCTGGTGCTGCCAATAATACCAAAACACCTACTCACTTGAGCAACAGAGGATCATCAAGCCAACACTTGTTGCCTGAGACAATGTCCCTTTTGTTGACTGTTCAGCAAAAGGATGAATATAAAAAACCATTTTTACCAAACCAGTAGATGACATTAGTAGTGATTATCAAAATCCAAGTGACATACAAGAATATAAAGCTTTAATGTATGCCTCGAAATGCACTCACACCCTATAAAGGGACTTGCACCGTTATTTCTCCAACAAGAAGAAGCTTATTGTTGTGAAAAAAGGAATGTAGAATAGGTTAGCCTCTTCCTGCTGATAGACTCTCACAACACTCTTCAAAAGCCTCTCTGATTTCGGAGTATTCAAATCCGCCCACGGCCAGTAATCAATAGAATGTTGCACAAAGAAAAAGAAAAAGAAATTTGAATAAAAGAAGTTACCACTGAATCCTCAAACAATCAAACTTAGTACAATCCTCAAAAAAATATATTGTCAAGGAAAAAATTACTCTGAATTAGAAAACATATTACTACCCCTGTTCATTGAGTCGGTGAACAAGACTACCATTAGACGTGAGATTTGAAGTCTCTCAATAAGTATTTCGAAACAACCAAAGTAAATCGTGGGTGAATCTCGTAAACGTAAACCCTAAGAGCTGAAGGTGTCAGTGGCGAGTATGCAACATAGAATGATTGTTCAAAAAACCTCTCAGTCTCTCTTTGACATCAAATCATCCAACTTCTTCACATCCTCTTTGCTCACTGTATCATCCAAAATCGTATGACATATCTGATTCTTCAAGGTGGAGGTCAGGAATTCTTCGAGTAAAGCCACAAAGGAGTACTCAACTTTAGGATTTAGTTTAGAGATCTGGAAATCGTGGATAGGGCTGGTATGGGAAGGAAATGAGAACACGGAGAAGATGTAGAAGAGAATAGAGAGAGCCAAGACAGCAAGAACGAATAAGAGGATCAGAGATCTGATTTTAGGGTTTCCAAAAGGGAAAGAATGTCTTCCTACCATTGGATTGGGCACACACACACAAATAATTATGCATAATGGTGTATTCTCTCTCTATATTCGTTTTCAAGAGATTTTACACTGAGAGATAGAGAGAGAAGCACAAACGCGAGGGAGAATGATCAATGTTAAGTCCAAAGAACTTGCTGCTGCCAAAGTTGGAGTCTTCAAACCGAAAGTTGTATGGTGCACCGCTTCATATCCACTAAAATTAACTGTTTGATATCTATACATGTCAGAATAATAATGGAATAATAAAATATGATCAAAAAATAATAACTAATAAATATTTGAATGACTATAAGTGAACAATGATAAATTGAATAACACAATAAGTGAATAATAACATCTAATTAAAAAAAAGATAACAATAAAAAATAAATAAATGAATCACAGCAAGTGAATAATAATAAATTAAATAACATAATAAGTGAATAATACAATAAAACATGAATTTTAATTGTAAAATTTAAAATAATTGATATTTTATTTTTGATTGAAATATTTTATTTCTAAATATAACATTTTAAACTTAAGGGGGTCTGGATATAATTTATTATACAACATGCTCTAAGTGTTACAAGCGTACAAACTTTAGGGAGTCTGAGTGATTAAGTGACAAACTTCAGGGGGTCTAGGTGTAATTCTCCCTAAAAAAATTTAAATTTTAATTATCAAACATACTTAATTAATAAGTGTCAAATATATATATTTTTTAAGTGCTGAATTTGGATTAACACACCTAAAATCATGTAATGCTTTGTCTTTCTCTCTTTCAACATGCAATGTTATGCCAGGCCCAACAAGGCTGAGTTAGGCCCGGCGAGGTTCGATCACCTAACCTATGCCAATGAAGTGCACGAGAACATAGGCCAATCATTTTTACGGTAAATTACATTCACATCTCTTGAGGTTTGGTCAAATAATAACTAGACCCCCATTTTTAAAAAAATAACACTGACTTCTCTTCTGCTTTTGTTGTCGGCAATAAGTTGTCCCTATCACTACTTTTCCGTAAAAAAAATCATTAGTGGTTTGATAATGGAAACAATTTATAATTTAAAATACCAAAATTATCCTCACATATCTAACAACTTTCTTTAAAAAAAAATACAAATTAATGGAATCAAATAATGATAGTGTTAAACCTATATAAACTCTACCATGTGGCCAAACAACCAACGCAACAATGGACCAAGACGTGGCCAGAGATGCCAAATAGGATCATCCCCTTTATCAATCTATGAAAACCCTTCAAGTACAGACCGTTAATTAATCTAGTGTTAATCTATTGACTTCCTCTCTCTCATGATGCCTTTCTATTACCACACCATCATCCATATAATTCATCTTCTCCATTTCTTTCTCTTTTTCTTATTGTGGTGGTCATCGCGGTGGTCGATTATAGCATGTGTGGATTGTGGGTGTCTGATCGGGTGTAGAGTTAGGATTCATGGCCATGGAAGGGTGGTTTTCTTCTAGGTGGGTGAGCCATGCGTGGGGGTTCTACTTGTGGAGGTTTTGCAGGAAGAGGGTAGAGTTTGATTGTGGTTTATTGGGTGGTATTTTTGGGTTTGAGGTGGGTAGTGTAGCAGTGACGATGATGGATGTGTAGCGGTGGCGTTGCCGTTGATTTGAGTGTGGGTGAGTGGTGGTGGTGAT